TATCATTGACCCCTAGACAGTCTATTAGAAATGCATCTTTTAGGCAATTGCGTTCATTTCCATCCTGTCCTGTCTGTGTAGTTGTGTGGGTCAGATCAATCAGGGTCCAGGCAGGAAGAGAGGGTGCTTTGTCGGCCCCGTCAGCGGGTGGTTGTTTGTAGTGCTCTGATAGATCTCTCGGCAGCGCCAGAGAATGGTCCCATTGCAAAGAGGGCCCGATTAGTTCAGAGGCCACTTTGTTCTGATATAGGCATGCGCAGGGACACAAAGACAGGCGTTGAGGAGGGGGGAGAGGAGCGGAGATGAGTGAAATGGCACCAGCCTTCACAGCGGATCATGGATGAATGGTGTGTAATGAATGGGAGAGGTGCCAAGCTGCCCTGGAGCCGCAAAATGAAGAGTACCAGTCCACTCACCTCAGCCCTAGTCTGTGTTTTCACAATGAATTAGACTAGTTAATGGCAATGCAGAAGTTTCAAGTGTATATAATGGCAATCCATAAATGAAAAGCAATCATTTTCTGTTGTCTCCTTTCATGTTCATTAATAAATGAAGTGAGCGTATTTCACAATATTAGATCAAAGGATCAGAAACATAGACCCTCCCCTCCAAAAAAAAATCAGGAAAGTGGTCAAAAGTGGACAAAAGAGACAGATTAAAACACCAGGTGTAATGTGAATTTGTCTCCATCGTCTACTTGCGATATGATTGACCAAACCCATCTTAAAACCAGGTGTAAACAGGGCCGAAATGGTTGAAAGTGGGTAAGCTCAAAACCTTTCCGACCCCGTTTATGCCTGTATTCAGTGTTGTCCACTTCGACAAAACGCATCTTAAAACCATGCTTTCAGTCTCTGATCTAGAATCTTTTTTCCCCCATCACACTAATAGTAAAGCATTAAACTGAAAAGCAGTTATGTACCAGAGCAGCAGTCTATTTGTCTATATACGTCTATTTAGTAACCTATACAGTAAATGTGTAAAATAAAAGAATGTTTGGAACTTTGACATGATGCTCACATGTGTTTCTGAATATTTCCACAGCAGCAGCTGTTAAAGCATCCAGGAGCAGCCCGTCTCCTCCGGCGGTGAGGAAGATGGGGAACGTGATGCGGAGGGCCAGTCAGGTTCTGAGTGAACGTGGGGAGCGTCTGATGAGGGCCGACGATAAAACCAGCCACTTTCTGCACGGGGCCAAGCAGTTTGCAGAGGCTGCTCAGAAGGTGAGCTGACCAGAGCACCCATTTACTCTGATTTGCTCCAAATTAACCGTTTAAGCTTCATGAGACTACACAGTGTCATGAACAACTGGTATAATGATATAATATAATAATAAATATGTGACCCTGGACCACAAAACCAGTCATAAGTAGCACGGGTATATTTGTAGCAATAGTCAAAAATACATTGTATGGGTCAAAATTATAGATTTTTCTTTTATGCCAAAAATCATTAGGATATTAAGTAAATATCATGTTCCATGAAGATATTTTGTAAGTTTCCTACCGTAAATATATCAAAAATGTATTATCTTTAGTAATATGCATTGCTAAGGACTTCATTTGGACAATTTTAAAGGCGATTTTCTCAATATTTAGAATTTTTTGCACCCTCAGATTCCAGATTTTCAAATAGTTGTATCTCGGCCAAATATTGGCCAAGTATGGTTCCTAACAAACCATACATTAATGGAAAGCTTATTTATTCAGCTTTCAGATGATGTATAAATCTCAGTTTATAAAAATTGACCCTTATGACTGGTTTTGTGGTACAGGGTCACATATAATATATTATACACTGTTGTTTTGTTTTTGAAAAAAAAAAAAAAAATGCTTCCCAAGGCTGCATTTATTTGATCAAAATACGGTAATTTTGTGAAATATAAAAAAAATAAAAATGTCCATTTATATATTTTAAAATGCAATTTATTCCTATGGTGGTAAAGCTGAATTTTCAGCAGCCACTACTCCAGTCTAACAATTCTAATATGCTGATTTGCTGCTCAAGAAACATTTTTTCTTATTATTAGTGTTGAAAACAGTCGTGCTGCTTAACAATTTTTTTGGAAACCGTGATATTTTTCATTTTTTTCTTTCAGGATTCTTCAGAATAGAACGTTTAAAAGAGCAGCATTTATTTGAAATAGAACTTTTTTTCTAACAATGCAAAAGTCTTACTGTCACATTTAATCAATTGAATGCATCCTTGCTGAATAAAAGTGCGCCAAACTTTTGAGCGGTAGTATAAATAATATACTATTTTAAAAAATGTAGTCAGGAGCAGTTATGAGTGGGTTGAACCATTAGAAAAAACATTGTATATAATTAGTAACCATTTCAATGAATAATATTTAAATAAAATAAAGCATCACATTTTTCTTTATTCCCACAGCTGGCTCTGAAGCAGATTTAGAGGTGTTCCTGATGGCCTGCAAATAAACATTAAAAAGTAGCTTTTAATCATTTGGGCGCTTCTCATCTAATTCAGATTCTGTTTTGGAGTACAAGGCATTTTGTTCAGCTTTCTCTTCACCTGCAGATTGGACTCATATTTGTTTTTTTCTTAATGTTTGCAAGGCATTGAGCATTTCAAGCAGTTGTAATGTGGTGTGCCCTGCTGTTCTGTCTGACTTGCTCTTTCTACAGTAAGCACAGGGTAATATAGCCAGCAGGTGGCTGGTCCTCTTCTGTGTAATCCTACTGAAATTGTGTTTGTTTTTGCGGTGGCAGAATTTTATCTTATTTTTTTCTGGCAAAACTAGAACAGATTGCCTCCTTTAAAGTAATACATCACATTGAAATGAAAGGAGCATAGCTGATGACTGATTAAAAATCTTTTTTTCATTGTTGTTCTGCAAGCTATACCCTAACATTACTGTTTCAGATTGTAATGCTGCATTTCTTTTTTTTTTTACATGTATCTTCACATTGTGAAGTGGCATTTATAAGAGTTAGGGTTACTTTTGGGTGATATTTATTAATATAATGCAGGTTTAGCACTTCATGTATCTTATTGGAAGCACTATTTCTTTAATATAACTTATAGCTTTTACTTATTTAATATTTTACATATTTAACGGTGTTTCAGATTATGATTGCCCACATGATAATCTTTAATTTAACAGTGGTAAGTTAATTCAACTGAAATAACACATAGAGGTGATATACTCATGAAGGGCTGCACGTCCCTCTGATGTTCAGTTCTGATCACACGAGGAGGCTGCTTTTATCTGCTCGTTCTATAAAGATGCTACAAGCGGTTTCATTTCATTGTGAACGCAGTGTTTATCCATTTGAATGTGCTCTGTGTGTGAATAACACATTCTTGTTGTTCTGTCAAGGCCATCTTCGTCTCCTGATTCTCTGTGTTGTAATAACAGTCAGCTTTGTTTGTGTTGTGACTGTGACCAGCAGTAGCAGGAGCTGCATGTCATAAGAGGCCAGAGGGTGTTTTCCGCACGGAGTCGGACTCCCTGTTTGGTGTTGGTGTGCGATGCATTCTGTTTTCTGCTGTGGTCCTTATGCTGTCATTTTGTTGTCTCCTATGTGTTGTATTGTTTTTTTTTTATATCCATTTTATATTTCAGAATATATGTGTAGCAGAGAATTCTATCTCTCCTTGTCTTTGTATGTGCTCTTGTACACATTTAAAACATGTTAAATGTGTAAACACCCTTCATTTGCGCAATAAATGAAACGGGACCCACTTATAGTGTATTATTGCATGATAAATATGTGGTTGTCTGTGCGCCTTCTGTCCACTAGAGGGCGCTCACATACAAACAGTTCAACATCCTGCAGACAAGCGTCTACCAGTTATTTCCCCCCAAACTTTTAAGTGCATTAAAGAATAAGGGGGACATATCAAATATCACAAATTGACATTCTGAAATGTATGTATTTTTTTTATTGTATAGCATAATTTGATATAGCCTATAGTAAATAACTTAAGAGTGTGTATCGATACTCGCACACAGATTTATTATTGTAATAAATTTGTTTAAATTTGACATGTAATTATAGCATTTGTTTATAAAATATCAGCATAATTTGAGATATATAAATTATTTAGTGTAATATTTTATATATTAGTGTATTAATTATTGTTTTATTAATATATTGTTTAATATTCTTATGTAACATTACACAACGCATATATATTTACAAATCAGAAAAATGAAAACCGGATGCATCATGATTTGTGGTCTCAGTCTTTTGGACTTTTTCATATTTCTAGTTAATACCAGATGTGCAGATTGCTTGTTAATTGATGCAGCTGCACTGTAGCATTTGTGTTGCCATAATGCCATTGACATGTGTTGTCTCGTGAAGGGCGTGATGGTGTTCAGGCTGAGACAGTGTGCAGCACTGCTGGATCAGCATCTACTGCATGCAGCCTCCTGCAGGACTGTTTGCTTGTGCTGAGACCAAATGAAGGTCAAGACTCACCGCTTAACTCCAGGATTGATGATTTGTAGGACTGTGCATGACACTGCGCGGATTAATTCTCTCTAATTTCATAATCTGATGTGCTAATAGATTATACCATAATCTGCCCCTCAGAAAAGCATTATGGTCATCAATCGATATGATTTAGCATTCTTGATGTGCGCCGCGGGTGTGATATTGACCCGGGAGTTATGTTTCCAGAAGCGCGAAGAGCTGTAAAAGCCAGAGGCGCGGGTCGTGACTTTCTGACGATGAGACGGGAATTGAACATCAATCGAGTATTGACTCGCACAGGATCTTCCCTCTTGAGTTTTAAGTTGTACCGGATCTTCAAATGACCACCGAATGACCTCTAAGGGATTTTGAACAGCCACTGACCTTAGAAAGACTTTGGAACGGTGCATTCCGTTCTGTAATCGTGTACTGCAGAGAGCGAGTAATATAATGAGCTTCTTAAAGGGATACTCCACCCCAGAATTAAAATTTTGTCATTAATCACTTACCCCCATGTCGTTCCAAACCCGTAAAAGCTTCGTTCGTCTTTGGAACACAATTTAAGATATTTTGGATGAAAACCGGCAGGCTTGTGACTGTCCCATTGACTGCCTAATTAATTACACTGTCAAGGTCCAGAAAAGTATGAAAGACATCGTCAGAATAGTCCATCTGCCATCAGTGGTTCAACCGTACCGTTATGAAGCGACGAGAACACTTTTTGTACGCGAAGAAAACAAAAATAACGACTTTATTCAACAATTCGTCTCCTCTGTGTCTCTCCGCATCACCGTAGCGCCATTTTGGAGAATATCCGCTGAACGCAAGCAGCGTACGCTTTTCTTTGTCAGCCGCACTGCACGGATTCGCTGTTTTCGTTCAAATCAAAGCGTAAATACACGTAGAAAACGTATCGTTGTTTCGCGGCTGACACAGAATAGCGTACGCTGCTTGCGTTCAGTGGTTATTCTCCAAAATGGCGCTACGGTGATGCGGAGAGACACAGAGGAGACAAATTGTTGAATAAAGTCATTATTTTTGTTT